AGATCTAAAGACCCAAGCAAAGCGACCTCGCCTCCGCAGAACAAAGACCAAGGAAAAACTTACAGTGGTGAGAGAGACAGTCTGGCTTCAAAGCCATGGAGACTCAAAGGCTGGTCTTCAATGGAAAGGCAACGGCAGAGGAGGAAGTAGGGACTTTTGAATGGCGAAACAAACGTGTTCTCAAGTTGCCATTCGATGTGCAGAGACAATATCCTTAAAAACAGTAAAGAACAAAGGTGTTTCCAAGCGGACGACAGAGACCAGTTGTGGCTAAGACTCACGGAAAATGGCTAATTCACGGAGGGGACCGCCTAGAGCTGTGTTCCTCCAAGATAAATGTCCTAGTTTGCTTTTTGTTGCTGTGATAAACAGCACAACCAAAGGGAACATGTGGTAGAACGAGTTTATTTCATCTTACCTCTCCCAAGTCCCAGTTCTGCCATCGAGGAAAGTCAAGGCTGGAGTGTCAGACAGAGCCCATGGAGGGATTCACCTCACTCACTCGCTTCCTTGGTTGGCTCAGCTAGCTTCCTTACACAGTCCACCTGCGTAGGGATGGTACCACCCACCCTGGGCTGGCCTTTCCTGTACATCAATTAGCAATCAAGAAGGTGCTCCACAGCAGTGCCTGGTACTCAGACCAAGCTGATCAAGGCAGTTCTTCAACTGAGGATGTGCTATAACTCTGCGCTGTGCCAAGTTGACAGCTGAAGCTAAAGGAGGCCTAACCGCTAATATCATTGCATGTTGAAAAGGGGTCTTTAAAGAGGTGACTGAGGTCATGGGGGGGGTGGTCCAACAGGGTTGGAGTCTGTGCTGGATAGCGTTAGTGTCAACTTGACACACCTGGGTTGAGGAAGCCTCAGTTGGGGAATCGCCTCTATTGGACTGGCCTGTGGCCATGTCTGAGGGGCATGTTCTTGATGAGGGGTGTGGGAGGGCCCGGACCACTGTGGGTGGGGCCACCCCTGGGAAGGGAGGCCTTGGTTGCCTAAGGAAGCAGGCTGAGCAGGGGCCAGGGGAGCAAGCCTGTAAGCAGCGTTCCTCCATGGCCTGTGCTCCAGCTCCTGCCTCCAGGTTCCTGCCCTGAGTTCCTACCTTGGGCTCCCTGATGAACTGTGACCCAGGAGATGTAAGCTGAATAAACCCTTTCCTCACCAAGTTGGTAGTGGTTAGAGTGTTTTGTCACAGCAATGAAGAACGAACTAGGACAGGGTCCTTGTAAGAAGAGATCAGGTCACAGACACACACAGAACGACAACCCTGGGGGATATCTGTACATCAAGAAGAGAGACCTTGGGGGGACCTGACCCTACTCATACCATGACCTCTGACCTCCATCTGCCAGGACTGAGGGACAGTCAATAACTGCTTCACTTTGATGGGTCTAGAAAATGAATAAAGTTAACACTAAAGCTTCTGTTTTTTGAGTCACTGGCTTGCTAAGTTGCCCAGCCTGGCTTCAATTTATTATCTTTGTTCTGCATATGGGGTGGGGGTTGCATTTGCATGCCCGGGTAAACTGATGTGTGACACATATGTCCATGTGCGCTGGAGGCCTAGGGGCTTTGAATTCCCTCAAACTGGAGTTACAGGTAGTTGCAAGCCTCCCGATGTGGGTGCTGGGAACTGAGCAAAAACAGGAAGAGCTCTTAAGCCCTCAGCCATGTCTTAAGTGCCCTGATGTCAAACGAGACACCCACTCATCAGCCTCCTGATTACTTTAGATTTCAGGTCTCGTCTAACAAGCTCTGAGTTTTAATTGGACAACTTATTTTCCTTTCTTGACTTAAGCTCATGATTGACTATTCATTGACAAAGAAATAGTTCTTTGCTATTACATTCATGAAGTCACTGAATGTGGAATACAGGCCCATTCTTTCTTAAAGTGGATATAACTAAGTGTGTGTAATATATGAATCTGTTACCCCTTTGCCAAGCTATTTAAATAAATGTCTGTGACTACATGCTTCCCAATCCTCCAGGCTTATTAGGAGAGATTAGAGAATATTAGGAGACTATGCTCTTTTTTTCTTTACGTTTTGTTCCCTGGGAAAATAATATATTAAAAACCTTTTTTAAGACAAGGTTTCTAATAGCCCAGCTTGCCTTGAACCGCCTCTGTAGCTGAGGATGACACTGGAGCTTCTGACTCAGCCTCTACTTTCCAAGTACTGAGGTAAGAGCCCTGCACCACCACACCTGGTTTTAAGGGGTGCTGGGATCAAACCAGGACCTGCGTACGGCAAGCAAACGTTCTTTCAACTGAGCCTCATCTCGAGCCTGGAAACACTGTCATTTAAAAAAGCACACCTGGTTTTAAGGGGTGCTGGGATCAAACCAGGACCTGCGTACGGCAAACAAACGTTCTATCAACTGAGCCTCATCTCAAGCCTGGAAACACTGTCATTTAAAAAGAGAAGCAAGCCACTCAGAACGGATGCCATACAAGGCTAGCTTTTTATGTGCATGCCGGACACCTGAACTCAGCCCCTCAGGCTGGCCAGGCAAGTAATCCACTGACTCTCAGACCAACAATATTATGTAAGCTAACCCAATGTTGGTAAGAATTTTTCTGGAGAAAACAGTAACTATTCACAGGAACACCTGAAGGACAGAAAGTTCCACCCTTGAATGTACAAAACATTACTCCTTATCACAAGATGTTTAGGTATGTTCTGAAGATCTGTTTTCAGACATGCAATGTGAGCTCTTTAAAAATATTCTTTGTAAATCAAGTATCTTCAATCAATAATAGCCAAATGCTACGTAGACCTTTTAAAGTCAACTTATCTATTAGCTCCTTTTCTGTTGCTGTGGTAAAACAGGGACCAAAGGAAGTTGTAGAAAGAAAAGTTTGAGCTTAAGGTTCCAGAGGGATTAGAGTTTGCACCTGGCAGAGGTGGCCAGAACAGAACGTAGAAAGCTCATTATCTTCAAGGAGGCACAGGAAACAGTGACTGGAAACCCCGCCCCTAGTGACATACTTCCTCCCACCTCGCCACAGCTCCAAAGCCTTCCCAAACAGTACCATAATGCAGAGACAGATTAGCTGCATCCTATGGGGGACGTTCTTATAGAAATCACCACATTCCTCCACCACATTTTCCTATTGCTGTAACAAGTACTGAAGGTGAACTGTCTTAGAAGGAAGAAAGGCTCATGCCAGCTGGGGGTTTCTGAGGTCTCAGGCCATGGTCGCTTGGCTCTTCCGTGGCTTTGGGCCTGTGGTAAGGCAGGACATCATGGTGGGTGCACACGGTGGAGCAGAGCTGCTCACCTCATGGCGGACAAGAGAGATTGGGGTCCCAATACCCTCTTTCAAGGCCATGCCCCGGGTGACCTCATTTCCTCCCACGAGATCCCTGCTCTAAAGCTTCCACTATGTCCCAATAGCACAGAGATGGGGACCATTCTGAAAGTTCCCCTTCGGTATTTTTGGACTATGGTGGAACTCAGAAACTGAAATTGAGATAGCAAGACTACGGAGAACAGAATGCCCTGATCTTCCTGGTTCCAACATATTCACTCTCTCAATAGAGATAACAGCTGCAGAGACTTAGTGCCAGGCATCCCCATGAGGGACAAACTCACCTTTGATAATTTAAAACACCCAAACGTTGAACAGCAAGTGGTGTTCAAACAAATATAAACTAAAGACGGTCTGTGGGTTCCATGCTCAGCTTAGAACTCATTGTTTCTGTTGCATTAGCTGATGGAATCACGCATGCATGCATACATGTTTGCCAGATCTTTTGTGTGTGTTGCACACATGTATGTTTGTGTCTGCATGTGGAGGGGGAGGCCAGCATCACTATCAATTCTCTTCCCCAATTACATCTCCATTTCCACACTGGAGACTGAATTGTGGCTCACCAATTTGTGTAGGCTCCCTTGGCAGCGAACTGCAGGGATCCTCCTGCCTGCGCCTCCTCGGCACTGGGATTATAAGCACAGGATATTGTGCCCAGCCTTCACATGGCTGCTGTGAATCGGAATGGGGGGGCCTCCCACTTGCATGGGAAGCACTGTACCAACTGACCATCTTTCCAGCCCACCCAGATCTTTATGTAGCCTTTGATAGCCTTGAACACGTAGTGGTCCCCGTGGCTTAGCCTCGAGTGCTGGCATCTCTTAGAGGTGTGACTCCCCAGGCCTGGCTTACCAACGAGGTTCTTGAAGGTGTTATGCATGTTTCCTTTAACTGCAATTAGGAAGACGTGGACTGGGCGATCTCTGAGACGATGTCTTTACTATTACAAATCCTGTACGAGCCTTTTCCTGTACCTATAATGACTTGACTCATCACTATGGAGCGCTGAAGCGATCAGATTGATGGGGAAGAAGGAAAAACAATGTCCAGTGTCTAAGCCTCAAGACTTTTTCTCTGTACAAAAACACAAGCATATGATGCAGTTGCGGTTAAAACTAAGATAAAACTGACTGTACAGGAGAATGTTATGTATACATAAGGCTGACAATGTGTATGTATGTATCTTAGTTTTGACATAAAGAAAATTTAAAAGTACAAAAACTAAAGAAGTAGTGGAATTCCTGAAGGGCCACTGAACTGTGGGCAGCCCTAGTGAAGAGCAGACAGCAGTGAACTGAGAAAATAGATCCAGATTTGTGTGAGCTTGTGTTTCAGTCTCTTATAGACATGGCAAATAGGTCTGTAGTTTGTGATAGGTGGGAAGTTATGACAGACTGTAGAAAGCTGGAACCATTTTTTTTAAACATTTTTAAATTTTTTTTTAAAATTTTATGTGTACGCGTGTATTGCCTGCATGTAGGTTAAGTGCACCCATGTCATGCAATGCCCCCAGAGGACAGAGGAGGCTGTTGGATCCTCTGGAACTGGAGTAACGGACAGTTGTTAGCTGCCATGTGGGTGCTGGAATTCAAACCCGGGTCTTCTGCAAGAACAGTCAGTGTTCTTAACCGCTGAGCCACCTCTCCAGCCCCCGTCTGTGTTTTTAAAAGAAGGCCAGTCACATATATGTCTTATGATGGTTAGAGGATATTTTATTAAAGATTAAATCATGATTCCCCTAAAAATATTACACAAACACATGAAAAAGATTTTATTTGACCAAATTACCTTATGAGAGAACTCACAAGATGTTGCAGTTGGTCTGAAGGAGAATGTGAACAGCAGGCATCTAGATACACAATCAGGAACACTGAAAGGAATTGGTTACATTGAGGCAAAATCAAATTCTATTTCTATAAAACAAGTACGAGGAAGGACCCAGATGATTTCTTTTTCCTGAGGTAGAAAACACTGCTATGTGCACGAGGATGTACACGGAGGTGTGTGCTGTGGCCGCAGGGGACGTAGACAGAGATGTGTGCTGCAGCTGGACGGGATGACGGAGGATGTGTGCCGTGGCCACAGGGGACGTAGACAGAGAATGTGTGCTGCAGCTGGACGGGATGACGGAGGATGTGTGCTGTGGCCACAGGGGACGTAGACAGAGAATGTGTGCTGCGGCTGCAAGAGGCAGGAAGGAAAATTCAGGGGACAGCGCAGCCAGGCACCGCGCACAAGGCCGGCGACATCTCTGGGACCCAGGCAAGGCGGGGGAAGGGGACCACGGAGCCTCAGCCGTCCAAGGCTTTCTCCTTCACGGTGGAAAACAAAATGACCGTCCTGCTCTTCAGCTGCTATTGCAACAAACATCCACGTTGAAGGGAGGGGAATGGTGTATCATATATAAACAAGTATGTTCATACATATACATACATATGTAATGGCACGTACATGCCTGCATATATAGTTAACATTTTCTAACTGCCATTATTCAGACTAAAGGGAAACAAGAACAGAATTTCATTCAGTGTTGGAAAATAACCATCCACATATGTAAATATGTATCTGCACAAATACACGTGTAGTCATACAGTAGCATTTATGTATGCATGCAGTTTCTTCACATACTGCACTGCTTTATCACGTGCTAATGTTCCAGCTTTGTTTGGGCTTCCTCTACGTGTTTTCCACGGACCGTGGACAGCTAACAACACTTCGCAGAGCGTGCCAACACAGAATGGGACGGCCACGTTCGGAAGGCTGTGGTGAGCAAGCAGGCCGCAACCCGGAGGCTGCCGCCAATGTCCTTCCCTCTTACCCTGAGCAGCGTGGACACCGAACGTGGCCTTGGGGTACCGTGAGCTACTCGTACGCAGGCAGACCAAACAGCTGTGGCTGGAAGTCCTCCAGGGACCTGAGCACAGACGTGGCCTTTCTCGTCAAGTCCGGGCTGAGGTTCTGATCGGGAACCATGACAGCCTGCATCCCGGCTGCCAGGGCCGCCTCCACTCCGTTGGGAGCATCTTCAAAGACGAGGCACTGCAGAAAGACAGACACAGTTAAGTGGTGCTTTACTCAAGCAGACGTCCGTCCGGGAGGAAGCAACGATGGCCGCCCTCGCCTGGGCTTTGCAATGCTGCAAATGGAGGTGGACACAGTGGGGGTTCAGGTTTACAAACTGAGACTCTATCACCTGAACCTCATCACCATGGAGCACCATCATGGCTGTCAACTTAGCATTTCCACTGCAGAACTTTTATTCTGAGCACAGACCCGTTTGCTCCATAACGGAGCCCCATACAATCCTGAGGACCCGCATTCAAAACCTGCAGCATCCGTGCAAAAAACCAGACTTGGCCCTGGGAGTGCATCTAACTCCAGGGCTGTAGGGGATACAGGCAGGGGACTGCCGGGGCTTGTGGGGGCTTGCCGGCTGCCCGCCGAGCTTCAGGCTCAGTGACAGACCCTGCCTCAGGGAATGAGGTGGCAGCAGATGGAGCACGATACCCAACATCCTCTCTGAGTGCGTTCTCCTCTCTCTCTCTCTCTCTCACACACACACACACACACACACCACACTGATGTGCATACACCGTACACACAGGCCACCACACATATACACAACCTGAACACTCAGTGTGAGAAGGAAGTGTGAAACAAACCAAGACGCACATTTTGAAACAGAAGACCCACTGCTGCACAGTTCATGGTTTCTGTACCATAGTTAGAAAATGACAGGGTTTGGATGTGGTACTTAATGCATTTCCTGCTGGGCCTGGTGGTGCACGTTTTTAAATCCCAGCCCTTGGGACGCAGGAGGCACTCATTGGGACCCTGTCCCAAACAAACAAATGCAGTTCCGGTTTGCTTGTGTCAGGAGACAGAAAAATAAATAAATACATAAATAAATAATGCACAGAAAACAAAGACCCAGCACACGTGTGCTGATTTGGTAGACTAGGACAGCACAGTCTCTTACCAGGACTCCCGACAGGCGTTCAAAGCCTCCCAGACCGTTCCCTGCCTGCCACACCTGCACTGCACGGGGCTGTCTGTATTTAAAAACTTCTCAGTGCTATCTTACGTCGGCACTCGTGTGAACAGGACCCCACTCAGGGCCACGTGGGGACTCCCTCACAGCTGGACACTTTGGTCGCTGTTCAGTAGTGCAGAGCGACACAGGGGAGTGACGTCCTCATCACACTGCGGCTTCTCAGTACTCGGAGGCCACCCTTGTCACATGCCATCGGTCTTGCTAGTGCGTCTCAGTGAAGACATGGGGAGCCCAGGCAGTTGTAAAGGAGGTGCGTGCTCTCCACTATGCTCCAGGCTCCTAGATGCTCCTTACTTGGGTCTCCGCCGGCACCCCAGAACTCAGGAGCGTGAATGCTGAGCCTTCCAAGTGATAGTTCAGCCTCCTTTGAAGCCTCCTTTCCCTCTGCCGTTTACCACAAGGAGTTTCTTCCTAACCAGTGAGCAGGCGCAGAAGCAGGTGAATGGGCAGGTGCTGGGGAAGGGCTCAGGGACGTCAGGCAGGGGCCCTACAACGTCAGGATCCGTATCCTGAACCCTGTTGGCCGCTGGGGAGCTCAGTGTCTCCCCCACTCATTTGCACACTCATGCCTGCTCTCCTAGAAAAGCTGTAAAGGTCTGGGCTGTCACACGTGCACTGGCTATCCCCCACTCACAAGACTACCCGACCACCCTGACCTTCTCAGTTCAACAGCTAACCCACTGCCCCAGGGGTGGGGTGGGGTGTGAGGGTGAGCCACACAGGGAGGTATTCTGTGCTGGAAGGTGGGGGGGGGCTGGACGGGCTAGGGCAATCTGTCCTGCTGCCTTTCTGCTAAGAACCCCTGCAGTTGGCTATCTCCCTCTGTCCTGAGACTCTGCTTTCCCTCTGAGGGGGAGGCAAGGAGGCCCCTTGGCAAAGCTGGGAGCTACTTCCGAGGGGCTCCGCAGGCAGATGGGCGTTGAAGTGTGGCTCAGAACCGGGAGCAAAAACACTGTGAGGTCCTTCACCCCATAGCACAGCTCTTCCCGAGTGCTGCCTGTGGGAGGAAACAGGAGGCACAAGACGGTGTCTGTGAAAACATTAGAGGTGTGTACCGCTCAGTGCGAAAACACTGGAGGTGTGTATGTGCAGAGGGAAACAGTAGCTGATGTAGGCTCCTTGGAAATTTTTCCTATTTCTCCTGCCTTGAATGTTCTAATGTCTTATCACTTTCTGTTTTGAACTCACAGTTGTGCTGGAAGCTAACTTTAGAAGAATACGAATACGGCACTGAAACGGCGGGTTGAGCATCCCTAACCCGCAGTCCCCAAACGTTCCAAAATCTGAACCGTCTGGAGCCGCCAGGTGAGGCTCCAGATTAGAAAACTTACCAAGAGAGATTGTTTCATGCAGAAAATTATTAAATGTATTTTACATAATTACCTTCAGGCTCTATGTATAAGATGCGTGTCAAAGATGAGTGCAGGCTAGGGAGATGGTTCAGTCAGGAGCCTGCGTGCTTGCAAGCACATGGACATGACTCAGACCCCCCAGAAACCCCTGTAAAAAAATAACCTGGGCTTATAATGCCAGCCCTGGAGACTCAGAAACAGGTAGATCCCCGGGGCTCTTGGAAACAACCCCCACAGGTACCAGCCTACGTGCACCCTTGAGGCAGGGAAACAGAAGGAGGGAATTCTGCAGACCAATGCACAAAGGCTAGCGGCCTTGGGTCTGCCTAAGCTTCCTTCAGCCAAAGGAGGATGCTCGGAGAGCCTGCGTTCTGTGGCCTTGGGGAAGGTGAGGACACGAAACAGGTAGATCCCCGGGGCTCTTGGAAACAACCCCCACAGGTACCAGCCCACGTGCACCCTTGAGGCAGGGAAACAGAACGAGGGAATTCTGCAGAGCAATGCACAAAGGCTAGTGGCCTTGGGTCTGCTTAGGCTTCATTCAGCCAAAGGAGCATGCTCTGAGAGCCTGCGTTCTGTGGCCTTGGGGAAGGTGAGGACAGGGAAACGACCCCCACAAGGTAGCTACAGGCATTGCTTTCCCCTGCGCATCCTCCTCCTCGTCTTGGGGTCGGGCCATGGCGCAGACACGGTTCACCTCCAGGTTCCTCATATCTGTCCCTCATAAAGCACCTCCTGCCCTCTAACTAGCAAGAATTTGGGGTTACTTCTTTGTGGGTGACCTGGGTGGGAGGACCTGCCAACCCCTTAGTTTTGGCTTCTTTGGCCCCTGTTCTACTCCTGAAGACTGAGAACAGCATTTTGTTTACTGAGAGCCACAGAGGGGCCACAGGGTGAGGGAGCTGCTATCCAAGGAGAGGAGCAAAGGCAGGCCCCCTCGTCTGTGGGGGCGGCGCCTCTCGGAGCCCAGGAAACATGGGGGAGGGGGTGCGTGGTCGCACAGGTGCTAAATTTGGGGCGGATTCTGGTTTTGCAGTAGCAGTGCACTGCTCTTCTCCCTACGGACCTGCAGGCGGGAGTGTGTCCCAGTCCACCTCTACAAGAGCAGCTGAGCTTAATTAAACTGTAGCTGGAGGGATTTAGGTTGGGAAAAAATAACATTTCCCAGTGTCTGGGTGGCTGGAGTCAAGCAGGTTGGTTCTGCTCAGCCGTAGGGATCCTCTGAGCCTCTCTAGGCAGTGGCCTCTCTGAAGGCCCCTGACCTCCATGATGACATCAGAGACTGCCCCACACAGTCGGGTTCCTCATCCACCTGCTCCCAGGGCCAACCTGGGTGAGGAGGTGACTGCACTTTGAAGGTGTAACTGAGCAGTTCCACTTTGTAAGTGGGAACTTCCCTGTAATAATCTATCTGGTCACAGCAGGATGTCCAGGTCTGTCTGGGTGTCACAAAACACTATCAGGGCTGGGGCGACTTAAAGAATAGCTCATCGCAACCCATGATTCTGGATGTTGCAAGCCCAAGGTCAAGCCGCCCGGCAGACTAGGTATGTGGAGAGGACTGCTTCCTGGTTCACACAGGACGCCTTCTTCTGACGTCCTCACATGACAGAACGAGCAGGGACATCCTCCCCCATCTCTTCCATAGGGACACGAGTCCTGTGCATGACCTCATCACCTCCCAAAGGGCGTACCCCTAACACTATCAACATAAGATTTTGAAGAGATACACACCCCACCCACAGTAGGTCTCATCGCAGCCATGAGATCTCAACACCACCATGTTGAGTGCTGAGGATTTCAACATTGGGCTTTAGGTGGGAACAGGAGGAGACCCAGACCCTTCCACATAAGCACATAAAGACAGAAATTCATCAGCACATGAGGGTGTCGCTGTGTGTGTTTGGGTTAGGCACAAATACTCAGTTTGTAACACAGATGGAATGAGTCAACTGTGAACCTGAGAATCCCTGTAGAGAACATGGAAACACCAGGCCACAGGACTACCCTAGGGAACCCTGTGATGAAGATGCATGTCTCAAGACATGTCTAAAGATCTGTGGTAATTTGTTGTGGCAGCAATACACAAGGATTCCACGTAACGAGTCCAAGGTAAATGTATCTCGAAGGCTTTGTAAATATACCTAGCTTTGGACACTGAATAATTGTGGAAAAATAAACATACTGTGAGCACTAAGGGACCTACAGCTAATAAAACAAGGCACATACTTCTGCTAAAATGTCAACAAAGAACACTCGTGCACTCCTTTGCTGGGGTGGGGGGCAGGTATTCAGCCTGGAACTCCGGATGCAATGGTCAGTCTCCTCTCTGTACAGAATTCAGGACTCATATGCTCGGGCAATCAGTCATCTGAGAGTACAGGAGTCTGCTTTATAGACTAGCAAGGGACTCGGTTTCATCAATTTATGTTAAACATGCCATGGATTTATAGGGTAAAAATTAGGGTGCTGTTGAATGGAGACTGGGCCAAGTCTGGCACGTCTGAGATTGGCTCCTCCCACAGAGTCAAACGTTGCCAAGTCTCTGTCTCCAATGGAGGTGACAAACTATCTTGGCTGGTCCCAGTGACATGAGGTATCTGTGAAAAAACCAAGGTGACCTATCCCCCTAG